TTCACATTTGGAGATCTAATCTAATGATTGTTATTTTATGTTGTTGTGGAAACTTGAATAGTACAACAGATTAAAACTCGATTGTATCAGTATATATACTATAGAATAGAACACGTATAATGAGAGGGATGGAAATGGGCTAATAGATGGCAAAATTATTATTTAAGTGAGATTTTGGGGGACTTGGCTATGTTGAAAATTTAGTATAAGATTTTGTTTATATGTGTGTAAACATGTATGCATGGATGTACAATTTCATATATTTAAAAAGAATATTCCAATAAGGGTTTTGCTATTAGCCCAAAACCTACTTTATTAAGGAGACTAAATGTTACAAGATTCGATATAATTAGCAAAAGGAAATGGTAAAATTAGTAAAAGAATGATTGAAAGAGATAAAAAATCACAAGAAACGCGGCTGACCCTAACTTCCTTAACAAGGAATCTTGGCAATAACAACAAAACAAAGGAGCCGTAAAAATTAACCTTCATCAACACACCAAATTTGTTCGTCTGATTCGAACCCCAAACGAATCAGACAATAGCGAGAGACACACTCCTTTGAATATACCAAGCTTCATCCTTTGATTCAAATCCCAATAAATTAAAAGCAAAACCCTAAAATTCATTTGAAAACTCTTCCTAGTCAATCTTGAAACCCTGATCCAACAAATGGGTTGAAAATATCGCTGTAGCTAGGGTCATTGATCTTGTTTTAAGATAATGGGAAGCTTTCATCGCCGGACTTTTTCTTACGATAAGCTTCCGAGCGTGCCCATTAGGCTCTCCGTTCTCAAGCTAGATGGCTCAACCTTTGGTAAATGCATCATCATAATATCTTTCCTCGTTTTGATCACTACTTATCAGTACTCGTTTGTTAGCTTCAATTTAAATTTTTTTACTACGTGAAGATGTTTACGTATTGAGCTCGGCGACCGTTGGTGATCTCAAGCTTGCCATAGAGACTGCCTTCAGCCACGTCCCCAAGAAAGGACCCTCCAAGATCTCATGGTACATTTTTCAAACTTCTTTTACACTTTTCTCTCTTATTATATTAGGTTAATGCAAATTTCAAAAAATTAAGTGTGTTTTAATGGTGAAGGTCACACGTGTGGGGGCATTTCTGTCTGTGTTTTGGGGGTCAGAAGTTAGTCACCGATACGGATTGCATTGGTCTCTATGGGATGAAGGACGGGGATGAGGTTTTATTGCTAATTTTCATCTCATTTTCATGATAAGTGATCAGAGGTTTATGCAGGATGGCGGGGAGATTCGAACATAACAAGAGTTGTTTGCGTAAATGTTTTAGGTAAGGTTCAAGAACCATGTATCGGGCAATGTGGTTTTGAGCAAGGGATATTCTAGGAAATCCAAACAAAAGAATTCGTAAG